ACCGTACTCCTTATAACATTATTACAGAGACCCAACAGTTCCCACCATGAGACCTTGGCAAGGAAAAACGTATTTTTAAGGTAACAGTAATCCAAAGACGTTCTTTTGGGGAAATGTACAACAATACTGACTCCAGAGATAAAAGAGAGACAGTGGGATCAATTCCATGTTGAGATTTCATTGGTTATGTAAGTGTAATAAAATAGCAGCCGTACAAATTTAACAAGTTAGCTAACACTACTGAGCCAAATGGTTGTCCTCTGTTAGAGTAAAGCAGAATTTATTGAAGAGTTTGTGAAGTTATGATGCTTGTGTAATACACTTATCTGTTTTTAAGTTAGGAGAGGAATATTGATGAGGAACTGTTAATTTCTCATGTATTTCTTCCTAAATCCTGTCCTAACTCTTGGTTAACTCTAACCATGGTTACCAAACAGTTCAGACAGCATCTGCAAGTTAAGAAGTTTCTGTAATACGGCACCTGGTTTTGATTTAGTTTCACTTATGAAGAGATCTGTTAATTACTTAGATTGTTTCCAGTACTCAAATAGTCAAATAATAGATTGAAAATTATCTGGTAGAATCTAATCTGTAGTCCAATATATTCTATTCTGTCTATCAGGAGTATGGTACATTGAGACTGGCCACCAAAATGAGTGGTTGGTATCGTCATAAAGAGGGATGACAGTACAGAATTTCAACAAAAGTCACTGGTTCCCTAAAACCGATACTGACAGGAAACTACCAACAGAGGATAAACTGTACAATCAGTGGGGGCATTTTGGGCAGTTTGGGTGGGGCATCAGTGCCATTTCCTGCTCTATTCTTACAGTTGCTTCTGTCTCTCTTTCAGGAGTGACTGTAGAAGTCCATGCTGCATTATGGAAGTTGTAGTCCAGACTACAGAGCCAACAGCGACACACAGTGGACATTAATGGAACTGAGGATTTACACACACATATACACACACATGCATGTACACCTGTACATACACAACAGCACCTGTCTGTCTCTTGGGGGCAGGGCCCGTGGCTGAGTTAGCTTCAAAGCAGTTAGCATTAGTTTGATTGTATGATTAGGTCTAGTTGAAAGCTTCATGATGGTACAACTGTTTAGATAATTTGTATAGACAGGTGAGCCACAGACAGGTAAAAGATGGACAGGGGACGCTGCTGTGACACCATCAACACATTCCCATAGCAACTAGACCACTAGAGCCGATGAACTTTCACCACAAATTAACACCAAAACTTGACCTGTTGCTGCATTTACTTTCAACTTAAACAAGCCCTGCCCCCAAACACCAGATACCCTGACAGGTTGAAGCAGACATCCGACTGGTTGGTTGACTCAGATGTATTTGCTCCTGATTGTGTACGATGGAAGAAATCAGCTTAATGAAACTTCAGACAAACGTTTGCATCACATCTGACAGATCTGTAATAATAACTGCTGACTCTGTTGCACCTGGTGAGGTCACCTGACTCTAACCTGTATCACCAGATGAGGGTCTTCTGACAGTCTGGTGCAAACGGTTTCCCATCTGAAATTTAAAATAGCATGACTGCTAGCACTGTAACTATTCACTATATAGCAGCTAAATTTAAGATCTGTATTTACCCATAATGCAAAAGTAATGTGCCATTCTCTCATCTCGCCATGGAAACCCTCATTATGAATTATTTTTCTCATCTATGTATTGGTTTTTGTGTTTGTTTGTTTATTTATTTATTTATTGAACTGTGTTTGTCTGTAATCCCAGACTGACTGACTGACCACTCCTCCTGGTGTCATATTACAAATTTACCACTCCCCTTAATGTTATATTACAGACTGATCACTCCCCCTGATGTCATATTACACCTTGACCCCTACCCCTGGTGTCATATTACAGACAGACCACTCCCCCTGATGTCATTTTACACATTGGCCCCTCCTCCTAGTGTCATATTACATATTGACCACTCCCCCGGTGTCATATTACAGACTGACCACTCCCCCTGATGTCATATTACACCTTGACCCCTCCCTCTGGTGTCATATTACACATTGACCACTCCCCCTGGTGTCATATTACAGACTGACCACTCCCCTGGGTATCATATTACACATTGACCACTCCCCCTGGTGTCATATTAAAGACTGACCACTCCCCTGGGTGTCATATTACACATTGACCACTCCCCCGGGTATAACCCATAAATATAAATCTTGTTTTATTTTCTTTATGATAACTTCGAACTTACTGAATGTGTTTTCATCCACTGAACTCCAATAAAAGGATCAATGAAGGACCGACTGTCTTTTCGTCTGTCAGCAGTAAAGTTAAAAAGATTTTGGTTGACAAGTCAATTGTGATTCAGTATATGTTATGAGGTCATGGTTTTATAGGTCAGTCCTCACTGAGATTAGCTCCACCTCAGAGCCACGTTCAAGACTTCCTGTTGACACCATACCCCGAGTAAAAGTTGTAAGGGAACAGTCGATAGACAATAATGATAATACATTTTATTTATAGAGCGCTTTTCTAGGAACTCAGGAAGACAATTCATGTAAGTTAAAAAGGAAAAGATAATTAAAACAACACAGTAAAAAATGTAGATATTGTGGAGTTGGTTGTGGTTTACAATCAGGAGAGACTTGTGAGAGCAGCGCCAGGTGAGTTGNNTACTCATTGAGTAATCACACTCAGCTCTCTCTTACGCTTTGTCACGTTTCCTCTTCTACAGTCAACAGAGGAGTTAAACTCTGACAGCCACTGATTCCCTGGCTGACTCAGCCGGAGAGTCACTGTACTGTATTTTACTCAGAATGTAAATAAATCAATAAATAGTGTAATTGAAAGATTGACACATTTGAATTTGTGAGTTTGATCTTTAATAATTGAAGCTATAGAATAACATGAACAATTCTCCTTTCTATTGGTGTCTGTGAACCAATCAGCACCTGTCTGGGTGTTGCTAGGCAACAGGACACGAGTTAGGAGTGACGCCCAACAGAAAGTGGGCAGAGCTCAGGTTCAGAGCATCAGTCAGGTGAGATTTAATGAGCTGTAGGTTCCTCAGACAACCTCTGAACCTGGAGTTGATAGACAGGCAGTTCTGCTTAACAGAGACTGAGAGTGAGACAGGTAGAAAGAGAGAGAGACATGCAGGTTAGTATCAGTCATTAACATCAGAATTTTGTTGTTTTTGTTGTTGAGTTCAGAGTTGGTGCTCACCTGGATAGCCTCCCAGGTAAACAGGGTTGTTGGTTTCAGCAGAGGTGGATTGTGGGTAAGGGTTGGGTGTGCTGTAACTGCGGCCGTCTACACTCAGACTCAGGGTGTGTTTGGTTTTTCTGGCCAGCAGGCGGTGCCACTGTCCATCACACAACATCTGACCAATCGAATGCACTGACACTCGACCCGCCCCATTATTCACGTTAAACACCACCTGAGGAACAACGCAGGTAACTCATCAAATAATCAACATATAATCAATGTATGATCAGACTCTGTATATCTCTCACTCTCACACACACACACACACACACGTGACTCATGTAATCAATATATAATCAATATCTAATCCTCACCTGTCCGTTGATCATTTCCAGCCCAATGGCGTCGACCTTGGCGCTGCTGATACCCAGAAACACAGCCTCTGATTGGCTCGTTCGGAACTCCAGAGAGACCAACACGTCAGAGCCGACCTTATACCCCTCAGGCACTGAACACACGCGCGCACACACACACA